GCCGGCACCGTGACGGTTGGACGCTCCATCAACAAAAAGCTTCCACATTTCTCCCACAAAAAGCTTCCAGCAGTCTGATGGGTCCTGAGAGTTGCAAAGGGCAATGGGATCACGGTTTCTTGGCTGTCTGGTTTCAAGTTCCGTGTTTGTGTTGATTGGTTCCACTCCAGCCCCCCTTGGTGATTCGGCACCGGACTCAGCAAGTCGGTCTACAATGCTTAAGTCCGTAGGCGAATCACCAGGTTGCGGTATTATGTCGGCCGCAGGCTCTGTGCTGAGTAGTTCCATTACTTCACCCACTGACGACGTGGTACCGGACAGAGTGGGTGGGACAACAATACCCGACTCCGTCATCGCGTCACCGGTTGGTTGAACTGTACAAGTTGAGGGTACTGCGGTGGGGCGCGCAAATTCCGTGTCGACAACTCCACACAGTTGTGGTATCTCGGTCAGGCTTGCAGTCCCTTCTTCTTCTGCCGCGGCAATATCGACCGGGCATACCGGATGAGTTCCTGGCGAGAATTCAGCAACAAAAGGCCAAAGTTTGGGCCTTTATGGCTATGCACGGTTGGAACTTTACATCAAACTGTCCCAATTCGACCGCCCACTTGAGAATTCGGCCTGAAAAGTCCGCCCGTTCAAACAAGGCCTTAAGGGGAAACTCGGTCAGTACGATGATGGTATAGGCGTGAAAATAATGTGCCAACTTCTTCTTGGGCACCACTACTGTGTTAGAAATCCACCGAGGGTAGTGCACTTCCTGAATTGCTCGTGCCTCAAGCAGGTTCTTCACCTCCTTTGCAACTACCTCGGCGTGATGCAGTGTCGATCTCCTTGTTCGCTGGATGACTGGCTTTGCTCCAGGGAAGACGTTGAGGTGATGGTAGATAAAACTTGGATCGAGGCCCGGCATGTCGTAAGGCGACCATGCGAAGACTTCGATGTTAGCCATCAAAAACTCAACCATCTTGGTCCTCTCTTGGGCAGTTAGGCTGAAACCGAGCAGGAAGAACTTATCCGGCCGCTCTACATCGAGTCGCACCTCAACCAGGTCCTCCACAGCTTTGTCCTCTGCCTTAGTGCCCACATCATCCAGAACTCCTCGGTCTTCCGGTCCTTCTATCATTTAGCCCGGCAACAAGGGCCTCGTACTCAGCCTCGTTGTTAGATGCTGGGAAGCCAATGACAGCGTCTTGGTCCCTTAACTTGCTTTCCAATCGCCTGGTGTGTGAGTCGAAGCACTGCTTGGACATGACCTGATCACCCCAAATCTCCTCGATTGCCCCCATAGCCGAGGGGAATCTCATCACCTGGTGGTAGGTCGATGCTACGGCTTTCATGGCGTGAAGCCATCCTCTTCCAAGGATAAGGTTGTATGTTGAAGGCACTTGTAGCACCCAAAACTCTACTTGCTTGACCACGGATCCCGCTTTGACCGGCAGGATAATCTTTCCCAAGGGCCACTCCGGTTGTGAGTTGAATACAACCAATGGCGAAGTTGCCGGAGCCAAGTCCGTCTCCCGGAGTTTGAGCTGCTTGAACGCATCATAATACATGATCTCGACCGAGCTTCCCTGATCGATCAAGATCCGTTTAACATCAAATTCCTTGACGCGTAGTATTACTACTAGGGCATCGTTGTGCGGCGTCTGGATACGCTCTAGATCCCTTGAGGTGAAACTAATCACGTCTTTTTCTTCAGTCCTCCCCCTTTTGATGGCAGGCTGTACCGACAAAACTTCCCTCATATGTTCTGCCTTTTTTATCATGCCCCGGAGTTCGCAAACACGCTCCGGTTCCACAATGCCGTGAATGACATTAATAACTCCCTGTGGTGGTGCGTCTCGGTCATCCTGTCCCCTGGGATCGACCGGAGCCTGATTCGGCTTCACGCCGCGATCAATGTACAGGTCTAGGTGCCCGGCCGCGAGCAGCTCTTCTAAGTGTTGCCTTAAAGGCAAACAATCCTCAGTCCGGTAGCCTCGCTCCCGATGAAACGTACAACGATACCGCGGATTGTAGCCCTTTTGTCCATCACCCAACTTAGCAGGAAACCGGACATACTCCTCGTCTCGGATTTCACTAAGTATGCGATAGATTGGAATCTTGAAGACCGTGGTTATGCCAGTCCTTGCCTTCAACCTTCTGTTTGCGTCCGCTACGTCATCTCGGGGGTAGTCATCCCGGTCATTCCGACGTCCTTTACCCCGGTTTTTGCGATTCGAGCCACGGTCCGATTCCTCTGCTCGGTCACTTGAGCGGCTGGACTCTTGCCCAACTGCGTGCACTTTGCCTGTTGTCTTCTTGTCCGTTGCTACCGGAGTTGCCTTCACGGTAGATGCTGATGCGTCATCCTCTACTCGGATGTGCTCATTGATGCGCTGCATGAGCTGGCCCATGGAGGTCGGTTGGTGCATGGTAAGCGAGTCCCGCAGTCTATGGCCGACCGGGAGACCATGCTTATATTGCGTGATTGCGAGGTTGACTAGGCAATCCAAGATCTCGTTGAAGGTTTCCCAATACCTTGAGTTGTATGCCTTCAGTGTGTCGCTCGGTTCCATCTTGACACTTAGTAAGTGATCGACTTCCTTTGGTGTTTTTGTGTTGGTTTTGAAGCGTGTAACAAACGCCTCGGCCAACTGATGCCACCTTTGTATGCTCCCTTCCGGCAACCTCTCGAACCACTTTAAGCCCAGCTCGCCTAAACTTGACGGGAAGATTAGGCACATAAGTCCGTCATTTCGCCTATGTCCAGCCATAACCTGTCGGAAGTGGCTCACATGCATGTAAGGATCGGTTTTTCCGTCGTAGAGTGTGAACTTAGGCTGGTGGAAGCCTGCCGGAAGCGGTGTTGTTTCTATTTCCAGGAAAAAAGGGGTGGCACTCAGCCTGGCCAAGTCCGTATATTCAAAGAGTGGCACTGCTTGGCGGGGTGGAGGCATTCCGAACTCCTCGCTGGTGTGAACCCCGTAGGATAGCCGCTGGAAAGCCGGTATTCTCTGAGCTTCGCGCCGGCGAGCCCGCTCCTTTAAGACCGCCCGCAAATCCTCTGAATGAGCAGAGTAAGAATACCTCGACATCGTCACCGGACGTGAGGGTTCGTAGGTGCTGTCTTGCGCGCTAGACTTTTCTGCATGCGTGTCGGAATCACCAACCTGGTAACTTCTGGTAATAGATATGGACTGAGTGCGTCACTGACTCTGACCGCCTGAACGGCGGGATGGGGTGCGCTTACTGTGGTCACCCACTCCAGCTACACCTTTCCCTTTGACATGCCGCTTCAGATCCTCCATCTCCGCCGCCATTCGCCGGATGACAGCGTCTTGGTCCCTCAACTTATTTTCCAGACGTCTGGCGTGTGAGTCTCTTCTCCGCCGGTGACCGTCTGGACTCCGTGAATGACCATGACTTCTTCCGCGCTTATCCCGCGCGTCTCCTGACTGTCCTCCGGTGGGCGTCCCCAAGTCCGCCATCAGATGGATGACGGGAGGTCCTTCTCTCCTTCGGGTGAACTCCGGCGTGGCTCCGTCTATGGCAGACAACGGAAACTCCACGTTGTTCGCCATGGACGGCGATCAGACGAGCCTGGAAGACAAGGTTTTGTCTATCAAGCTTCCCACAGACGGCGCCAATTGTACGGGGATTCAGTTAAACTGCACAGAGAATGTTCCTAAAGTTTTGAAAAATTTCTCAGTTTGGCATATGGTTAAACCATTTTGATGGGATTGAAACACAAAAGCATGAATAGGGTGCATGTTTTGACCCGGGAAAATTCTATTCTATTCATACAAAAAATATTACAAGAATGCTGTAGCAATATCATTTTTGTAAATAAAACCACCTCCGTGGGTGTTTTGTTTTAAAGTAAAAGGTCTACATTAAACCACATCATTCTATATGAAAATTTTGTATGAATTTTCTGTTTATATATCATTACTCTTTGATTCGGTGTAAATTATAGAGCACAGACCTGCAAATGTCCCAAAGCACTTTGTGCACGTGGCTCTGCCATAGAAGCTTCAAAATCAATATAGAATAGGTAATCAAAATACCTGCAACCATAAATTAGTCAGCAAAATAACAAAGGCCATTTCAACAGTAATTCATTGTTCCTGAGTAGATGCAAAGTACTATCTAAAGTGAAGTTTATAGAAGCAAAGGGCACATATTCTTCTATTAAAGAAAGAACAGTAAAGTAGTAATAGATCAAACGACAGCAAACTTAAATCATGGATTGATAGAAGTTCGTTGGCACAAATGGAACAGTATGCTTCAAAAGTTTCAGTAGGGAAAAAAGAAATGCAAAATAAAAAGAGTCCATTCGTAATATTTTCCTTAAATACTATTATGGACCGGCCATAAATATCATGTACCTACATCAAGTGTAAGAAATTGCAATTTACTCTGAAATGTCTTAGAAATTACTCACCAAAAAAACGACAGAAGTCTTAAAAATTACTGATCTCCTCTGAAATTGTAATGAGTCTAATGACAACTTTGCTCTTAAATGGAGAATGTCAAGTACAAGGAGGTAAAAATATTTTGCTTTCCAGGTTTTGCCTTTTTCTTGTTTTTTGTTTTTGGAGATTTGTATTCAGCGCCATTAACACTTTAAATCAAATTAAGAATGATAATTAAAGGGAAACTCTTGAGAGGTCAGTGATATTTCAAAACTCTAGGAGCACATCAGTGACATTTGCAGAGCTTGGGAAAGGTCACCACATTTTTACTCGTCAGTTATGCATATAATTCTGTAATTCTTCTCGCAAACAAATGGTATGCAGGGTTGAGGTTTAACTGAACTGAATTGAGTACAATGGTTTACTTTGTTTTGAAACGTTAGTGTGATATATGCCTTTGCCATGTTTAGGTTCAAAATTCTAAGGATTCACAATGTCACCAATTCCAAGTGCGTAGATTATCTTCCCTTGTCAACATCCTTGCAATGTAGCTTTCAACTCAAATGTATCCACAATTTTTTGGGGAAATGTACCCATCAACTTGTGCCAACTAGATGACATGTACTTTATTCGAAGGCAAATTATACAAGTTCCAAATGGTTTTCAAGCTGATTAAAACTTTTGGCTGATTAAAAAGTGTAGGAAGGTGCAGCCGGTGTGTAGCAAAATTCTGTTGTTGGAGGATTTAGTACATTTTTTTAAAACATGATCCAATGTATGCATTAAATTTTATACAATTTTTTAAGTTACTGTGAAGAGAGTTTTGACATATTTTTCTTTCAATATTTAATGATTTCATATGTCATAATTTTATAACACACCACTCTACTATTAAGTATTTTGTTATTAGTAGTTATAAACTTATAATGATATGTTGTATTTCAAATTTGCAGGTTATAGCTATTTTATAAATAAATTTGAATATTATTGTTGTTATTTTATTAAACAAACTAAAATCATATAATAAATATCTCCAAGTTATACAAGTAACACAACGTACAACATACACGTTACAACTACATATAAAAGTTATGTTCAATTTTTAATTGTGAGTGAATAAAACAAAAGTTGAAAGAGGAGAAAATGAGCAAAATAATTGGCTTTTAAATGTAGCAGGAGTAGCTGCCACTGTTATATAACAACCGTAATAGTGTCATAACGGCCCATTATGGCATTACATAATGGTGGCAACCATTACACTTGTGAAATTCAATTACACCATTAACATGGCCATAACAGGTAACAATGACTACCCATACGGTTACGTAATGGCGCTACGTAACAGTTGTGGCCCATTTTTAAAACTACCTCACCGAAGGCATAGTGACAAGCTATGAAGCACCGACACTTCAAAGCAAGTGCTGTATCCATGTCGGACACACGGACATGGCGAGGACACGTAGACACGGCGGGGACACACCACATGGTGTGTCCCTCTTATTTAAGTAATTTATTTTCAGGGGACATGCTGGGGACACTTCGGAAACACATTAGGGACATACCAAGTTATCTTTTCTCTCATTTTCTTTAGTTCTTTTGATGAATGTTGAATGTTTATTATTATTTTCTTAGATTTAAATACTTAATAAATCCTCCATAAAAATTAAAAAAAGAAGATATAAATTGTAAGTGCTAATTTAAAAGTTTTATTTTATTTTATTTTATTTTAAAATTTATAGAATTAGAGTTATTTTTGTTAAAATTGATTGTTTGTGGATGTAGTATTAATTTAGATAGCAAATAAACATATATGAAAACATATTTTATTGCCGTGTCCTCGCCATGTCCATGTCCGTGTCCGTGTCCCCATATTTTTTAAATTGCCATGCCCCGTGTCCGCATCCATGTCTGTATCCGCATCCGTATTCGTATCCGTGCTTCTTAGCTGGCAAGGGGCCAGTGGCCCAGGATTGATGGTCATGAGTCTTGCCCTCGGGACTAGAACCTATGTCCTCTTGGTCATCAAATCACATGGAAGTAAGCCCCCAACCACCAGGCTAGCACTCTTGGGTGGTCTAGCTGATTTAAATCAAATGTGAAATTAGTACTCACTTGGCACTTCCAGTGTTTGAGTCATCAACCACCCTTAACGGTCGCTTTCTTTGTGGTCGACTTTCAATCTGAAATCATATTGAAATGGAAAAAGTTAAGGGCAAGGGATTTTCTAAAGAAGGATAATCGAATGATACAATCCAACCCTAATAGAGCAAGATACCTTTGTCAAATTGATGTTCCTCAGTGCAAACACTGATAAGGCTTTAAACAACACTCCAGGGCCTTCATCCAAAGTAAATACAATGCTTGTCTAGAATAAAGGACATCAAAATCTAACTTTTCACACCTTTAGGCAACCACTAAATTGAATAGACTAGGCAAAACAAAGTCTCACCTTAAAGGGCTTATCAGCTCTTGGAATTATAGGTTCCCTTGCAAGTACCAAGTAACGAGTAACAATATCAGAGTCATCCTGCAGAGGCCATGGAATTCAAGTAACCTCAGCACCGTTTCTCATAACATAATATGATTACACAACTTAGTAGCATTTGGCAAAAAAAAAATCTTCCTCAAACATGTCCGAAGTTGCACATAACAATATACAATATGATAATCTTTCCTATTAAATGATTCATTTCCCTTGGGGTCATGCCTCAAGGGCACTCCACCCAAAATTTATAGGGATTGTTTATTGACTGATGGGAAAGGGAGGTGAGATTTGCAATTGAATGCTTCATTTTTCATTTAAGTAAATACTAGAATTCTCATGTTTCCATTTTTCTTTCTTTTCTCTTATTTCTTGGCAATCAAATGGAGGATAAAAGAATTAGGGTTCAGAAACAGGTAGGGAGAAACTAACCTGGAATCTCTCAGCAAGTATACTAAGCCCATAAATTTCTGCAGCTCGAACACTTGCAACAACACCAGCATCCCTCAATCCATTTAAGGCAACAAACTGACTCAAAAGTTAATAGAGTTAGAACAAAGATATTAGCTGGAGTGGTATAAGAGAGGTTAAAATAAGATGCCAAAAGTGACAACCATAGATTACCTGAGCAGCACCAGCTGGGTCGTCCACATTTTCTCTGGCAACACCTAACTTACTCAGGAAAGCATCACTTTGGGCAAGGGCCTGAAATACAGAACTTGTCAAATTGTAGCACTTAAATTTTGAGGATTTAGAACTTTTTATTTAACAAGAACCTAGTTACTATGAAGTATGGATATGTATATGGATACAGACATGGACATGGGATACAGACATGGACATGGGACACGGCGATTTCAAAAAAATAAAGACATAACACAATGGGGATATTGGATTTATTTTTAATTTCTATGCATATGAATATTACATCATAAACAACCAAAAAATAATGAAAACTAGCACTGATTTAACATTAACAAAAAAAAAAAAAAACTAATTAAATTTAAATCAGCCAAAGGCGAGATCTGTGTTGCAATAGGTACCAGAGATTATTAGAAGCCAGTCTCTCAACTTCACAACTGTGTTTAGATCCATGCTGTGTTATTGATGGTTCAATATTAGTTCTATTTTCCTTTTTAATTCAACATTCATGTTTCCAAGTATTATAATATGACCCCAAAATTAACTTTGGAAAATTAAAATAAGTCTTTGTTGTTTCCCCATCATGTCCATGTAGGCCGTGTTTGTGTATATGTGTCCGACACAGATACGACACCTATTTTGAAGTGTCGGTGATTCATAGCCTAATTATTCAAAAGGACTATAGTCTATAAAATAAAATATGACCCGACTATAAAAGCGTGTAATTGTCCATATGACAAACAAAAAGTGAGGTCCCTAAACTCAGTATGGCAATAATTATTCTAGGCTTCCCCACTCTATGATCTAGGCATGGTTTAAGTTTCTACAAAAATGAAATGAACACTTCTCTAGAGAGAAAATTTTACCCAAATTCACAGTTTAAACCATATACTCCTGTCCTTCCTATAAAAAAAAAAAACCATATACTCCTGTAAGAAGTTGAGTGTTTTCCACATCACTTCAACTTCTATGATTTTCAATTTTTCACAACTGAATTCCACTTCCAAAGAGAATGAACGTTACTTCAAAGTTATAGCTTAATCCAATATCAAAATTTAGAACAGTGATCACTCTCTTACCACAAACAAGATGCGGTGGACCAGCTGGTGGAGCTTTTGGGCTTTCTGTATGGGTTGCAAGTTGGGGGGCGTAAGAGAGGATTCTTTGGTGTGGAATTGCCCACGGTCCAAGAGGAGTGACTTTTGGTTTGGTTTGGGTGCAGCCGGGTTCTGTGCTGGCAGTTTTGCAAAGTTGGGCTAGGGGTAGGGTTGGGAGGAGGCATTGGAAGGCACGGATGATTGCTTCGCACTGTTTAATGTGGTTGATTTGGCTGGAGCATAATAGGCGTGTATTCAAAGGCGTGTCTCATTCGGTCCCTTGGCTAGAGAGGTGGTTGCTTATGGTGTTATATAGTTGGGTTATAGGTTTGGTTGATCTAGACGTTTTGGCTTTTGTAGATTTTGTGCATGATTTGATTTCTTAGCTTTGTTATCCCCATGGAGGCTGAATTTTTGTATTCTTTGCATCATCTTGATGTTTTTCTAATAAAGCCTATTTATTTATCCAAAAAAAAAAAAAAAAAAAAACATGCGATGGATATGACTTGAAGCAATTGCTCCTTGAATAGTTGAGACAAGTGAATAACAAGTCTGGGATATATCAGGTCTCTCTCTCTCTCTCTCTCTCTCTCTCTCACACACACACACACACACACACACACACACACTTTTTTCACACAGTTAATAAAACTCAACTCAACAATCCTTCTCCCCATCTCAAAGACAAAAAACTAAAAGAAATAAAGCCTGACCATTGGATGACTCAGAACACGTTTTAACTGGTCTGTTCGGACACCTGGTAGTGCTAGAAGGCAGAGACTAATGGCCAACTGAACCTCAGCCACAATATGCAGTCTATGACGAAGGAGTAAATCATAATTGCGATGGATGCTTCCACCTAAACTATTCTCAATTGGAAGAATAGCTTTATCAGCCAACCAGAGTTCAACAGCCTGCAAAATATATTCAAGAACAAACCAAGCAGGGATGATTATATTAATTTAAGCTAGGAGCCCTTCAGATACAGTTGTAACCAAACCATTTCATTTTGTTTACCAGCATTCGAATTGACAAATCCATCTTTTAGAATTTGGTTCACTACTAAAATAGGAGTCATTAACAAATAAATAGATGTCAACGGAAAGAAAGAATGGGCCTGTTTGGTGCAGCTTTTTGCAAATTGAAAGTTAATAATCAGAAGTAAAAGCTAAAACTATGTTAACTGGAACGTGGATCATTCTGGTACATGGAACGGAAAAAGAAACGTGGTACGCCACATGCTCTAAAATGTGATACGATAGGAGTAGACTTATATATATTACACTAGAGTAATTTTCTTTTAAGTATTAGGTATCCAATAATTTTATTTATTTATTTTTTATTTTTATGTAGCAAATCATTTCTATGAAAATTATGACCCATTTTTTATGTTACTGTCTTGTCAAAACTTAACTCGCCTTAGATTTTAGTTCATATATTTGATTTTTTTTCTCCTAAGGTAACATTTAAAGAAATATATTGGAAAAAACTTATGGGATCGTTTCGGATCACTAAATTTACTATTTTGAAATGAAAGTGTAACATGTTTCGGAATGTTCGTACCAATACGTAATTCACTAGGGTATTAGCATTTTCTGGTAACATAGAGCTAAAAGCACTTCTCTGCCTACTTCTCAATAATTAGTTTTTTTTTCCAACTTATTTAAGCTATTTGTGCCTCATAAGCTGTAGGCAAAAGTCGCCCCAAACAGTTTGGCACAAATTTTCAAAATTAAAAAAATCTACAAGCAGCTCCATAAGCTGCACAGCCCCAATCTCATTAAGTGATATGTAAAACAAAATTTATAATTGTGATTCTGAACTGTGTCCTGAATTCTGACCACAGGCTGTTAAAATTACATCGTAACCAACCTTGAATGCATCTTCAAACTCATCACAAGGAACAGTTTCACAGTGAGGGTAGGTTTTGAGGGCAACATCCTCACTGTAGCCACCTGGTAGCCCCTACACCATTAATTGGTAAAAATAAGAATGAAAGATGAGAATTTCCAGCAACCTTGGGCTTTTATATTTTTCACTATACAATAGAAACTAGCAAACTTTATACAAATGCAATACCTTAAATGATATCCGAACCTTGGTACCATCATTTCGAGAAACAGAAAAATCAGTTACCGATAGTGGTCCTGCATTTGGTGAAGACATTGGAAAAATGGAAGAGGGAAAAGTCAGATATTGTTAAACTGAAATCAGTCAATGATGAGATGAATAAGACAGTATATCATAAGCAGGCTTCATAGAAGTAATGCAAACAACTTACAGAGAATCTAAATAGTAAAAAGCATGACCATGAAACGGAGTAGAAACAGAAGTACATAGTAGACTTCTAGATTGAAGAAGGCTATAAGCAGGTAAATTACAGTTATAATCCTGTAACTATGAAATAAAACAGAGATTCTAACTTAAAATTTCTCTAAATCTACTCTACAAAAGTATTCAGTCCTAATTTTCATTTTCTGTTCAAAATAATAACAGCAATAAAATTGAATATGAGGAATTGTTTGAGCTTTCCTGCCAATTAGAATTGAAATGGAGGTGTTCCATCTTTGAGGCATTCCTTGATAGAAAGACATAAGGTGATGAAGAAGGCCGAGTATATCATAATATCATGTTTTCCTCTTATGGTTACCCAACAATTATTACCCTGAAAATCCAGGTAAAATACTAATTTTTTGTCACTAGGATGAAAAAACAAGTTTTGCCAATTACTGAGAAGAATTTCTTGATCATAAAATTATTTCATCACTCATCGTAAAATCCTATGTAAACCAAAGACGCATAAGATAACCACGTACCCTCCCTACCCAATAATCAGTCTTAAAAAGAGACGGGAAATGATTAAGTGGGTTCTATCCATCCTGAACTTTTTCTAGTTTCTCCAACAAGCAATAACACTCGTATGCTTCAATTACAACCCTACACCATAAGTGATACAATTATTGCAAGCATAGATTACATTGATCCTCCTAAACAATACATGGAGAACATGTTTTCACCTACTAGCGTAGATAGCTGGGTATCCTCACCTCCATTGACCTCAGAGTGTACCTTTTTAGTCTTAGGGTTAGGCACCCCTCCTAATGAGTCCCTATTCACTGACTCCCATGAGTCTGTTCCCTCCTCTCCTTCTCCTTTCCCGCCTGCTCCTGCTCCTGCTCCTGCTCCTGCTCCTTTTCCTTCTCCTTCTCCTCCTCCGGTGTTAGTCTATTCTTGTCGCAAAGCTCTCCCTCCACCAGTTGTCTCTGCCCCTGCTGCTAATCCTTCTGCTTATGACGACTCTGATCTTACTAACCGTAAGTATCCCTTTGCATCCGTAAACAGGTAGTCAAACTTAGTTTTGCTAAAACATGTTTTTCTCCTTCATACTGTACATTTTTGCCTACTATACTCTCTTTTTCAAAACCTCAATCTTACAAGATGGCCTATCAGGATCCTCATTGGATTCAAACCATAGAGGATGAGTTGTCTACTTTGCAGAAAATTAGTACTTGGGAGTTGGTTCCTTTGCTTGCTGGTAAGAATCTGGTTGGTTACAAATGGGTCTACAAAGTCAAGACTCATTCTGAAGGTTCTTTGAACGCTATAAGGCTCGCCTAGTTGCCAAGGGTTTTTCCTAGGAGTATGGTATTGATTATGAGGAGACCTTTGCCCTTGTTGACAAGATGACTACTGTCCGTATTTTGAAATCTGTCGCTGCTATTCGTCATTGGCCTCTTTATTAGATGGATGTTAAGAATGATTTTCTTAATGGTCATCTCGCTGAGGAGGTTTTACATGCATCCTCCCCCTGGCCTTTACCATTCCTCAGGACAAGTTTGTCGTCTTCAGCGTGCTCTGTATGGTCTGTAGCAATCTTTTCGTGCTTGGTATGATAGCTTTGAGATTGTTGTTACTGAGCTTAGGTTTCATCCTTTTACCTAAGACTCTGCTTTGTTTCTCCCCCCTACCTCTGCTGGGTTTGTTGCCTTATTACTGTATGTGGATGATATGATTATTACTGGCTCTGATACCATGTAAGTTTTTGAATAAATCTATATATTCAAATTGTGTACTAATACAAAGAATACATCTGATTATATAGTAAACCTAACCTTAAGACTAAAAAGGAAACACTGCCATATATATAAACCTAAAACACTGCCATATATATACACCTATACAATCTCTTAAAAAAGGAAACACTGCCATATATATAAACCTAACCTAATTCATAGTGTTGGCACAAATACAACGAAAAAACACTAGGAAAGGAGCTCCCCTGTGGTTCTTCCAGCATTGCCACATCACTATGAATGCATAACAAACAAAAAAGGTCATCTTGATTTTAGTATTAAAAGAAAGGAAAAAAAAGTGTAAAAATCAAAAGAAAAGAAAGGGAAAGAAAAGAAAAAATGAAGAAATGAACTATTCTATACCACATGGCGATAATTAATCAATTAAATTCAGTATATGCAGCAGAATAGGTCATCCGGTTTTCCATCAAAGGCCATTTTTTTCATAAATAAAAGATTTCATTAAGAAGAGGCACCATGAGAGTGCAACTGATGAACAAAGGAAAATGGAAGACTTCATCATAAACCTATTTAGAGGTCTCTAAAGAATCCAAAATTTGGGTCAAGGATGGGTCAATCCTCTCCAAAAACGAACTACACAAAAAAGGACAAAATTTTACTCTTTACTCAAAATTTTTACCAACAAAAGTTCGTTTATGCCTCTCTCCCCAAATTATCCAGATGATTGCCAAATGGGCCAAGCACCATGCCTTCTTCCTTCTTCTCCCCACACTACACCTTTCCAATAATAGAGACAATCTTTCACATTACTTGGGATTGTCCAATCCACTCCAAACAAAAATAGAGTCAAAGACCACAACTCCTTCATCACCTCACAATGAATAAGAAGGTGACTCACAGATTTTGCATTGTGCTTACACATACAACACCAATTTTACATGCACTTGCCTCTGTCTAATCAAATTATCAATCGTGAAAATCACGAAGGGACACGCACCAAACAAAAAAAAAGCCACTTTGGACGACCACTTTGGACGGATCTTCGTTCCTCTCCAAGGACCAAGGGAATAACATTCCGTTATTCTATGAAGCATGGACACTCCAAAATTGGTGTCGTGGTGGTGTCTAACACGCGGACACGCCGGGGATACGTACGAGACACGCCAGATGGTGTGTCCCTTTAATTTAATGAATTTTTTGATCCACCACCTCCATCCAGTCGATCGAAGATCCCCGACCCCCATCAAGTCGATCGAAGACCTCGGAAGACCTCCGAAGACCTCCATCCAGTCGATCGAAGACCTCTCTATCAGTCGATCGAAGACCCCAAACCTCCATCCAGTTGAGCTCCATCCAGTCGTCTTCCATCTAGACGACTTCGAAGGTAAGCTCCTCTCTCTCTCTCCCTCTCTCCCTCTCTCCCCTTCTCGAAACTGTTTTTTATTTTTTTATACTTTATATATATTTAAGACTGTATTTTTTTTTAAAAAAAAAAATTATAGGTTTATATATATATAGTATGTAAAATGTCTATAATTTAAGACATTTTAAGACTGTTTTCTCTTTCTTTCTCCCCCCCTTCTAATGTGAATGTTAATTTATAATGGTTATAATTCATAGGAAAAATGTCCAGTTCAAATTTTGCCAATAACACACCATTTGCCTTTGATGCTGAAGATGACAAGCCACTGTCGAAATATGTGACTAGATTAGAAAAATCTGGTGCAAGAGGGGGGAACTACACTTTTCAATGTAGCATTTTTTAGTCTACACATAAAGGTTCATACACTAGAATAAAAGCCCATTTGATGCACATTAAAAATCAAGGGATAGAAGTGTGTCCAAAAGTAACAAGTAAGGACAAAGCTGAATTTGAGAGAGTAATTGCAGAAGCAGAGTTGAAATTGAAATACTCTAGGTTGAAGAAAGTCCCATTGCCTCCTCCTAGTTCAAGTGTATCATTAGGTTTATGTTTCAATGAACCAGAGGAGATCTATGGATCAAAAAGGAAGAGGTCAACTGCTATAGGGAGTAGAAGTAGTAACCCTATTATGAAAGCATTTAACATTGGGGCTCGAGAACGAATAAATGGTGAGATAGCTAGAATGTTTTATTCAGCAGGCTTGCCATTTCATTTGGTAAGAAATCTTTACTATGTTAGTGCATTTACTTTTGCTGCAAATAACAACATACAAGGATATGTACCGCCTGGGTATAAAATGTTGAGAACTACATTGTTTCAAAAAGAAAGGATAAACATTGATAGGTTGTTAGACCCTATTCGAGGCACATAGAGAGAGAAGGGTGTGAGTATAGTCAGTGATGATGGAGTGATTCCCAACGAAGGCCATTAATAAATTTTATGGCTTTACCGGAGGTGGGCCTATGTTTCTTAAAGCGGTTGATTGTTCAGGGGAAACAAATGACAAGTATTTTATTTCCAACTTGATGAAGGAAGTAATCATGGAGGTTGGGGCTAAAAATGTGGTTCAAGTCATTACAGATAATGCCCCAAATTGCAAGGCGGTGGGGCACCTAATTGAAGTGCAATTTCCTCACATCTTTTGGACTTCTTGTGTTTTGCACACCCTCAATCTTGCCTTGAAGAATATTTGTGCTGCCAAGAAGGTGGAAAATAATTTAGTTGCATTTGAAGAGTGTAATTGGATTAGTGAGATTGTGGGTGATGTGATGATGATCAAGAATTTTATTTGTAGTCATTCCATGAGGTTGGCAATGTACAATGAGTTTGTGAGTTTGAAGCTTCTTTCAGTTGCCGAGACAAGCTTTGCTTCTTCCATTGTCATGCTTAAGAGGGTCAAGTTGATAAAGCAAGGTATCCAAACAATGGTAATCAGTGAGAAATGGAATTGTTATAGGGATGATGATATTGGTAAGGCTAGGTTTGTGAAGGATAAGTTGTTGGATGACTTTTGGTGGGATCAAATCGACAACATACTTTCCTTTACTGCTCCTATTTATGACATGATTAGAGTTTGTGAAACCAATAGACCTTCTCTTCACTTAGTATATGATATGTGGGATACAATGATAGAAAAAGTGAAGATGGTGATATATAAGCATGAAGGAAAGCGACTAGAAGAAGAGTCTACATTCTATAATGTAGTACATCAGATTCTTGTAGACCGGTGGAACAAGAACAACACACCACTTTATTACTTGGCACACTCATTAAATCCAAATTGATTACAACACAATTTACTATTTTTATTAATTTAAGCTTAATATTATTCTTTCACATTTATAATGAGTAGTATATTTTTTTCATTTTAGGTATTACAGTGATGTGTGGCTTCATGAGGATCCAAGCCGAGTTCCCCCACATAGGGATGAGAAGGTCTGCCTTGAGAGAAAAAAGTGCTTGAAAAAGTTTTTTGACGATCCATGGAGCGCACTAGAGCAAATTCAGAGTATGCCAAGTTCTCAACTAAAGAGGGGCCATTTGCTGACATTGATTCCATTGGAGATAGATGTGATATGGATCCTCATAGTTGTTGGGTTGTTCATGGTGCATCTGCACCCACTCTTCAATCTTTGGCTTTAAGGGTACTTCTGCAAACTTCTTCTTCGTCATGTGTTGAGAAGAATTAGAGTATACACTCTTTTATCCATTCAATGAGAAGAAACAAGATGACACCCCAATGTGCAGAGGACTTGGTTTTTGTTCATAGCAACCTCCGTCTTTTATCAAGGAGAACCCCACAATACCTTGAAGGAGAGACCAAGTTATGAGATATTGCGGGCGACACATTTGATTCATTTGACGATGTTGGGATGCTTGAGGATGCAAATATCTCACTTGATGAACCTGAGATGGAGGTTGTGTTGTTTACAGATAATGGAGGTGCAAACAAAGAAAAAGATGGTGATGCTAATGATGATGAAGACGTGTAAGAAATTGGATCTACATCTACTTGAAGATTGAATTAATGTTACTATGTTAGTATTTGTTAATTTTGATTTAGGATGAATATAATATGAATCAACATAACACATAAAAATATTTAAAAAAAAAAAAAAATTTGCCGTGTCCTCTGCCATGTCCGTGTCTTAATTTTTTGGAAATTACTGTGTTCGTGTCCATGCTTAGCCGCTATTTCCTCTAAGATTACAATTGGACTTTTTCCCTTATTGAATAAAGTAGGATTAGAGGTAACTTCCCCATTACCATAATCCATATTCCAACCATAGACATGAATGTGCTTGAGTGCACAATTGACACAAACATGAATGCGTGTTGCAGGTATAGACGCACACGATGTTTCACCAAGTTCAAATAAGTTCCTATACAGCTACATCTACCCACTTGGATTCTGATTTGAGCAAGAAGATGAGAATTGATCAAACACATTTTTTGTTTGCTTCCAACTTGCACCATATCCTTTTGAAAATTTAAACATTAAAAACTGGTAGATTTCTTCTCAATTCACTTGTAAGTGTCAAAGTTGAACCTAAAAATCGAACACCGATGCTCTTTGAACACTCTTGGGACACGTGTCCAACACTCTTCAAAACGTATCCTATTTTTTAAAGATCTGGACACTCCTTGAACAATTGGAGGACACACATATTTATTGCTTAAACACATGTGTTTATCAATTAGACACATGTGAAACTAATTATAAGTTTGAATTAAACAACTTAAGACACAATAATAAAACAAAAACCATATAAATTTATAGGAATTAGTGTCATATTATATTTTTTATTATCTTTGAATGATATATTCGAATATATAAATATAATAAATATATAAAATTATATATTTCATGCGTGTTCCTCATGTGTTGTGTCATTCATTTTTTGTCGGCATGTCCGTGTCGTGTCACATGTCTGTGTCCATGCTTCTTAGGTCTCACCTCATCTTGTGAAATCTCTCACTATAACTAAAAACTCTCTGCTCCAGAAACAGTGAAACCACCAGGTTAGACAAATTCTTAGCACCAAAATGGAAAGATTCTTATGCTCCACTAATCAAATTGCAAATACAAGACTTGAATAAAACAACATCACTTTACTTGTTTATTTAACTTTTTCCTTTCGTCATTATTCACATGAATGACTTTGTTATTCATCAGTAAGTAATTATATGAATTAACTCAATATATTTAAGAGTCAAGGGTTATATCTTCAAACAGCCTATGTATTCAGTCAGGAATAAAAACCCATACATTCATCAAGTAGCAAAGAAAGAACCCACTTGGAAGAGAAGTTGAATCATTCTGCAACCTCCTGGAGCCATTTCCTTCTGTCTGATCAACCACCCTCTGCAATTCAGTAGCCGAACTTGACGACTTCTCATCATCATCCACAGATCTTATTGTCTGGTGGGTTGATGATAAACTCAAAAACCCATTAAGACACTCCCATTTACGAACTCCCTCCTTGCCTTTCACCTGACAACACACAAACCCATAAGGCTTTAAACTCAATTCTCCCCAACCCAGTTGAGGAACAACACTCCCCAGCTTAACAACACCGTTCAAAGCCATCAATGGGTTACCAAAGCAATACAATTTTCATCAGGAAAACTGTTCAATTCAAAGTAATTTATAATAGGTGTATGGAAAAGATTAAAGAAACACTTGGGTTAGGACTGGAAGATTTGGTTGAGGAATTTCGTTGAGCAGGTGAGGCACACCAGCACAGAATTAGGTGAAGAAATGGTATTCAACAAGTTCAGCGAAATGTTTGAACAAAGATAGTGATGTGTAACGACCACATGAGTTAGTAATTTTGTTTTTTTGGTACTACGTGAGTTTGGTAATTTGGTTTTTTTGTTTGTGACATTGTTCTACGAAATCTAACACTACTGTTTGAAGCTTGGACAATGTAATGAGAATGGTCTTGATGAACCGCCCTAGGGTGTGTGGTAGGTGAGGTAACGGGTGTACTCGTGTCGTCGGGGAACCACTTCTCAACTTGACGGTGCGCTGGACCCCACCACGGTCTATTTTTTATGATTTAAAACGTACGAGTAATGATAAAGAATTTTAATATGGAAAATGAGTGAGAGTACTAATTAGTGTTATCACTAATGATGTGGCAGTGAGTTTTATCAGGAATGATTTGATGTTTTGATCTTGGTGTTGTATTTTTTTTCTTTTTTTATTGAGTGACATATCATTAGTAATCTTTTTAGAGTTCCAAAATTAGTGGTGTCTATCATTACTGTTTTAATATTTGGCCTCAATCATTTAAAGTTCTTTTAGGGTTTGTTTAAGAAGGGGATTGGCTTTTTAATTTTGGGCAAATTACAAACACCCCTCGAGGTTTGGTGAAAATACAGATTCCCCCTGAGGTTTGAGAAATTACATCCCGCCCCCTGAGGTTTATATTTCCATAACAAATTACCCCCTGAGATTTTTATTTTCATACAGATTCCCCCTAATTTGTTATGCAAATTTGACCTCCAGGGGGCAATTTGTAATTTCTCAAACCTCAGGGGGGAATTTGTATTTTCACCATACCTCGAGGGGGGTGTTTGTAATTTGCCCTTTAATTTTTTTAGTTATTTTTAATATATGGATTAAAAAATCTTGTTTATAAATAATTTTTAATTTTTTTGATTTTTTTAAGAGATAAATAATATAATGATTATGAGTTGAATGTAATATTTTATCTTATTAGACTAAAAAATTTATTTTATTTTTTGTAACTAAAATAATAATAATAAAAAAACTCCAAACTTAACTTCCCAAACGAAGCCTTAAAATTTTCTTTTTAGAGTTCTAGATCAATTTTCTTAAATTATTTAGAATTACTTCTTAGCTTGGGGGTGCGGTCAGGCCAACCACCATGGTCTATTTTTTATGATTTAAATTATTTATCTTTAAAGATTTTTAATGTATATTATTTGTTAATAAAATTAAGTTAATTTTTTAAATCATAATATTTTTTATTTTATCACATTATTTATTATAAAAAAGATGACAAATATATTTTTAAGAATATATTATTGATTTTTTTGAAGACAAATATGATAAATAAAAATGTTGTGATTTTCTAATTGACTTAATTTTTTATGGATATTATATTAAGTACTTTAAATTATTAAAAAGAGACATGTTGGAAGGTTTCACGCCTCTCAATTTTTCTGAATTGGAAAAATGTGTAATTTTTTTTTTTATAAAATTATTATTGATGCCAATTATTATGTGGATAATAATAAAATTCAATGACAGTCCATGAGAAAAGTCATATTTATTTGACATTTTTGTGTAGATGGCTAATAGAACAAATTTTATATCATTTTCCCATAAAGAATTGTCTTTGGCCCTGTTTGGTAGACCTGTGAGAAAGTGCTTATAACTTATGTTTAAACAACTTACAACTTATAACTTATAACTATGAACATAAGCTGATTTCTGACTTATAAATTAAGCATCTCCGGCCCCACTCAAAGAATAAGCTGATTTTTGACTTCCAAAAAGCTATAAGCTATAAGCTAAACCAAACACATCAAAATAGCTTAAATTAAGCTGAAAGCTGAAATAAGCAGCTTTTAAATTGCACCAAACAGGGCCTTTCTACTAGAACATGTCGGCTGTGAACTGAGCTAATTGGAGCCCACCACCACGGGGCTATTTTTTATGATTTAAATTATTTGTTTTTTAATATATTCTTTATATAAAAAAAATTAGATCAATTTTATATATCGTTTTTTTTTTAATTTTATCACATTTTTTTTATAAAAATAGATGACAAATATATTTTTAAAAATATATTATCGATTTTTTGGAGATAAACCTGATAAATAAAAATGTTGTGATTGTCAAATTGATTTTTTTTTTATTAATAATATATATATAAGTCGTATAAAATGAATATATGAATTATTAGAGGGAGGCATGTTGAAAGGTTTACAGCCCCTCATCAAGTTTTTTAAACTTGAAAAAAGCCTAATTTAAAAAAAAAAATTATTATTGATGCCAATTATTATGTGGATTTATTCACTCAATATGATAATAATAAAATTCAATGAAAATCCATGGTCATATTTATTTGATAGTTTTGTGTACATGGCTAATAGAACAAATTTTATATTTTTTTTTTTTTCTTTTTCCATAAAGAAATGTCCCTCTACTAGAACATGTCGGCCGTGACCGAGCTAATTGTAGTCTTCGGTTTGTATAGTTAGAGGTTATTTAGTTAAAGTAATTAATAAAGAAAAAAAAAATTGTAGAGATATATTTTTTGGGTTATCCATGTGATTGAGGTTGTTAGCCGAGGTACCACGTGGATGGACCAAGTCGTTACATTATATCTGAATTCGAGATATTCAGATAGAGGATCAGAGTCCTAAATGGTTTCAGGCTCTCTGTTTGTATAGAGATGAGACTTTTAGGGGAGTATCTTATTCTAATATAAATAAGAGGAGTTTTGGATAAATGATAGAGTGTAAGACTTCTAAAGGAAGTTGGACATTGATCACTATATAAAGAGAGCAAGTACTCTTTAATTAAGAGTTGTTTTACTTGTGCCGATATTTTGTGATATTGTTTGATTGACTTGATCATTATAGTGTCCCCGGGTGGATAGCTATCGTAGTATTTTTTACTTTCTTGTGCGTTGGTGATCGACTTAATTTATTTTGTCTCGTATTTTCTAAGTTTCTTCTAGATATCGGTAAAGAATTCGGTTTGATTGTGAGGTCAGAAATCAACACTCATAAGACTAAAATAATTAATAAAACAAAATATTACATACAATTTATAATAATTTCACTTTTTCTCTTAAAACTATTAAATCAATTAAAAAAAATACTATCCTCCTAAATATAATTTTTCTAACTAAATTAAAATAATTAAAAAATTAAATAACCAACTTAAAAAAAACTTATTCCTAAAGCGGACCTACACGTTGTGTAGATAGAATCCAATAAACACTTTTAACAATGTCACCCAATACCTTGACCTCTCCAGTGTGAGAAAGAGAGTAATACCCCTAAGTTAAAAGCCCATTGGTAATCTTTTTAAAGGAAAATGTTTGAGGGCTATAATTTTTGTGGTTTAAATAGTTTAAAATTGTCAAAACGATATCGTTTTAGCAATTTTGAAGTTGTTTTGTACTCAAAACGACGTCGTTCTGGCAATTTCGAACCATTTGAGCCACAAAAATTATGATCCTCAATCATTACTGCTTTTAAAATATTATACTCTTTCACTTTTGCCCTTGATAAAAAAGGATGGTCTCACCGGAATTGAGACGTAACTGCAGTCTCATTTTCAATAATGGCACAAAACTCATCCAATTTTCTATCTAATATAAAAATAATAATGCTTGATATCACTAATTAGAGCTACCACTAATGATGTGATAGTGGATCCCACCTACTGTCACAATGTATACTGTGCCTTGTTTTTTTTTTTTTTTTTTTTTTTTTTACTCACTAATGATGCATTAAAGCACCACTTTCAATGGTATGTATCATTGTCCTTTTTTATGTGTATAGGATATTAACAATGATTGAAATTCTTTTTTCTCGAGACTTTTATATTTTTTTTTGAATCTTAATTATTGTTGGTGTGGGTCTCATACATACATGAGTGGGTCTCACACATATATTAATAGTTGAGATCCAAAAGAGGTTGTGGGAGTCCCAAAAAAAAGGAGATCCCAAGCATTTTTCATAGGATATATGTAATGTAATATCTGTTATTATTGTGATTGATTTTAATAATAGAATTCATTACATTTATGTTGGGTGTTTGGAGAATAATAAAAATCATATACATTTATAATTAGTAGAAAATAATGCCACGTGATGCCCTATTGAGATACACAAATTTCTCCTTTCAACTGCGATCTTGGTATGTTAATTACATATTAGTGGGGTAGACAAAAAAAATATTATTAATTAAAATTAAATTATTTTTCTTTTTTTATAAAAAAAATTCTTCTCTACTGATATCTAATTTTTCTTAAATTATTAGGTTATTTTAGAATGTCTGTTGGCTTATTTTTTCTATGAAGGAAAATATCATAAATGCAAGAGTACCAGTAATGATTGAAAAATCCTTACAGATTAAATTCAAGTCAATTATCAAGTGATTGCATTGACGATTCTTTTATCTTAATGAAGAAGATTTCAAAATTGTCAAGTATAGAGAAAGGAAAAATTAAAAGAAGAAGAATAGAGATGGAAAAAGATGATTGAGTGAACAATCGAGATGATTGAGTGAACAATCAAGGTAACCATTAATTTGCCTCTACTTCTATACTTCAAAAGGGAAGTGCATAAAACAAAGTGTAAGCTTATAAAGATACGAAATACAGAAATCAATTATCTTTAATTTGAGTTGAATGCATTATAATGTAGTCATTAATGGCTATTTATAGGTAAATATTTGTAAGAAAAAACTACCTAATAGTTATCCTATTCTTTCATCTCCTACACCTCACACTGTATGATCTTCCACTTCCTCTACTCGATTCTCCATGTCCTCTATTTTTTCTATCATCTTTATCATATGTCTTTAATATTTTATAACTTCTGAACCTCCAAGTGAGTAGAAAAGTGTCAAGTGTCCTACAATTTATAAATAATAATAATAATAATAATAATTAAAAATTTATTGTGTCAACAATATCATCATCATGGATTAGGATTTTTTTAAATTTAAATTTGAGCGAATTTAAAGGGTTGTAGGGATTATTATGAGTTACAAATATAATATCTTTTATATATATCATTGATTAAAAAAAAAAATTTGATCTCATAGTTGTAATTTTTTATTTTTTTATTTTATTGTATTTGTTTTCAAAAAAGTAGATGTATTTTTAAAAAAGGTACTTGTTGTTTGTATTTCAAAAGCAAATCCGATAAAATAAAATAAAAATTATGATTATTCGATTGACTTAATTTTTTGAG